AATGAACGTTGAATTTTGTTGAATGCTTTTTCAGCATCTATTGAGATGATCATGTGGTTTTTGTCCTTCTTCTTGTTGATGTGGTGGATGGTGTTGATGGATTTTCAAATGTTGTACCATCCTTGCATCCCTGGAATAAATCCTAGTTGATCATGATGGATGGTCCTTTTGATGTATTTTTGAATTCAGTTTGCTAATATTTTGTTAAATGTTTTTGCATCTATGTTCATCAGGAATATTGATGTGTAGTTTTCTTTTTTTGTGGTGTCTGCGTGGTTTTGGTATTGAGACATGCTTGCCTCATAGAGTGGGTTTGGGAGTATTCCTCCCTCTTCTACTTTTTAGAAAACTTTAAGGAGGATGGGTATTAGGTCTTCACTAAATGTTTGATAAAATACAGCAGTGAAAGCATCTGGTCCAGGTGTTTGTCTTAGGTAGTTATTTCATTACCATTTCAATTTCCTTGCTGATAATTGGTCTATTCAGATTTTCTGTTTCTTCCTGGGTCGGTGTTAGAAGGTTGTATTTTCTAGAAAGTTGTCCATTTCTTCCAGTTTGTTACCATATAATTTTTCATAATATTCTCATAATTCTTTCTATTTCTGTGATGTCCGTCGTGGTTTTTCCTTTCTCATTTCTGATTCTGTTTATGTTGTGTAGACTCTTTTTTTTTCTTGATAAGTCTGGCTAGTGGTTTATCTATTTTGCTTATTTTATCAAAGATCCAGCTCCTGCTTTCATTGATTCTTTCTATTGTTTTATTCTTCTTGATTTTATTTATTTCTGCTCTAATCTTTATTTTGTCCCTCCTTCTACTGACTTAGGGATTCATTTTTTTCTTCTTTTTCTAGTTTTGTTAATTGTGAGTTTAGACTGTTCATTTGGGATTGTTCTTCTTTCCTGAGGTAGGCCTGTATTGCCATGTACTTCCCTCTTAGCACAGCCTTTGCTGTGTCCCACAGATTTTGAGGTGATGAATTATTGTTGTCATGTTTGTCCATGTACTGCTTGATCTCTGTCTTTTTTTGGTCATTGATCCATTGATTATTTAGAAGCATGTTATTAAGCCTCCATGTGTTTGTGGGCTTTGTCGTTTTCTTTGTGTGATTTATTTCTAGTTTCATACCTTTGTGATCTGAGAAGCTGGTTGGTATAATTTCAATCTTTTTAAATTTACTGAGGTTCTTTTTGTGGCCTAGTATATGATCTATTCTTGAAAATGTTCCATGTGCACTTGAGAAGAATGTGTATCCTGTTGCTTTTGGATGGAGTGTTCTGTAGATGTCCATTACATCCATCTGTTCTAATACGTTGTTCAGTGCCTCTGTGTCCTTACTTATTTTCTGTCTGGTTGATCTGTTCTTTGAAGTGAGTGGTGTGCTGAAGTCTTCTAGAATGAATTCATTGCATTGTATTTCCCCCTTTAATTCTGTTATTATTTGTTTCACGTATGTAGGTGATCCTGTGTTGGGTGCATAGATATTTATAATAGTTATATCCTCTTGTTGGACTGACCCTTTTATCATTATGTAATGAATGTCCTTCTTTGTCTCTTGTTACTTTCTTTGTTTTGAAGTCTATTTTGTCTGATACAAGTACTGCAACTCCTGCTTTTTTCTCCCTATTAGTTGCATGAAATATCTTTTTCCATCCCTTTACTTTCAGTCTGTGTATGTCTTTGGGTTTGAAGTGACTCTCTTGAAGGCAGCATATAGATGAGTCTTGTTTTTTTATCCATTCAGTGACTGTGTATCTTTTGATTTGTACATTCAGACTGTTTACATTTAGGATGATTATCGATAGGTATTTACTTATTGCCATTGCAGGCTTTCGATTCGTAGTTACCAAAAGTTCAAGGGTAATTCCCTTACTATATAACAGTCTAATTTAACTCACTTAGTATGCTATTACAAACATAACCTAAAGGTTCTTTTTTTATTTCCTACTTTTTCTTCCTCCTCCATTCTTTACATATTAGGTATCATATTCTGTACTCTTGTCTATCCCTTGATTGACTTTGGGGTTAGTTGATTTGATTTCCAGCTGCTTAGTAATTAATTGTTCTACTTTCTTTGCTGTGGTTTTTTTCCCCTGGTGACACCTATTTAGCCTTAGAAATATTTCCATCTATAGCAGTCCTTCAAAAATGCACTATAGAAGTGGTTTGTGGGAGGTAAATTCTCTCAGCTTTTGATTATCTGAAAATTGTTTAATCTGTCCTTCAAATGTAAATGATAATCTTGCTGGGTAGAGTATTCTTGGTTCGAGGCCCTTCTGCTTCCTTGCATTAAATATATCACCCCACTCCCTTCTGGCCTGTGAGGTTTCTGTTGAGAAGTCTGATGATAGCTTGATGGGTTTTTCTTTGTATGTCATCTTTTTTCTCTCTCTAGCTGCTTTGAAGAGTCTGTCCTTATCCTTGATCTTTGCTATTTTAATTATTATATGTCTTGTTGTTGTCTTCCTTGGTTCCCTTGTATTGGGAGATCTGTGCACCTCCATGGCCTGAGAGACTATTCCCTTCTCTAGGTTGGGGAAGTTTTCAGCAATTACCTTCTCAATGACACTTTCTATCCCTTTTTCTCTCTCTTCTTCTGGTACTCCTATAAGGTGAATATTATTCCGTTTGGATTGATCACACAGTTCTCTCAATATTCTTTCATTCTTAGAGATCCTTTTTTCTCTCTGTGCCTCTGCTTCTTTTTATTCCTCTTCTGTAATTTCTATTCCTTTTACTGTCTCTTCTACTACATCTAATCAGCTTTTAAATCCCTCCATTGTATGTTGCATTTCAGATATGGAATTTCTTAATGATTGAATCTCCATCCTAAATTCATCCCTGGGTTCTTGAATATTTTTCTGTACCTCCATGAGCATGTTTATGATTTTTATTTTGAACTCTCTTTCAGGAAGATTGGTGAGTTAGTTTCATTTGGCCCTTTTTCTAAGGTTTGTGAGATTTTAGTCTGAACCAGGTTCCTTTGACATTTCATATTTCTATGTGGCACCCTCTGTGCCCAGAAGCTCTAGTCTCTGGAGCTGCTTTGCCCCTGGAGTGTTGTTGGGGGTCACAGGAGAGAGGTGTTGGTGCCTGGGAGGAAGAAAGAGCTGTTTCTTGCTTCCCGGCTGCAGTGCCTGTCTCTACTGTCAGAGTCAGTGGACCAAGCACACAGGTGTAAGCCTCTGTGCTTTGTGTCTGTAGCTGTTGTAGGCAGGGCCTCCCTCTGACTGACCTGACACCAGGGCAGGGACTGCCAGTATGTGAGTTGGTGCTGGTAGGTCACTGGTAGGTCAGGAGGAAGGTGCAGCAGGCTGTGTATCACAGTAGGAGGCCTTGGAGCTGAGTTGCCAGCCAGGGCGATGGAGCGCCTGAAGCTCCTGAAAGTTCCCAACCTACTGGGCAGAGTGCACCCAGACAACCTTGTCCACCTATCTCTTCTCTCCTGCAGCAAGCTCCATGCAAACCCTGCCCCTTCAGTAGCCCTCTCATTGCTAGGAAGCCTCTCAGACTGCCTGCCTTTCCTGTGTCCCAGAGCAGCTGGGTGTGGATCCCTGTCCGCCACAAATGACTGGAATCTCAGTGTCTCCAAGTATTCTGCCTGTGTTAGCTTTCCAACCCCACTAATCTCCAGAGCACCATGCAATGTACGTTTGTGCCCCCAAAGCAGATCTCTAGAGGCTGGTTATTCAGCAGTCCTTGGCTTCCACCCCCTCCCCGCTCCATTCCTCTTCCTCCCACTGGTGAGCTGGGGTGGGGGAAGGGTTTGGATCCCGTTGGATCAAAGCTTTGGTACATTACCCTGTTTTGTGAGGTCTGCTCTGTTCTCCAGGTGTGTGCAGTCTGGTGCAGCCTTCTATCCTGTTGATCTTTTAAGATTAATTGTATTAACTATATTTTCATATTGTATGTGGTTTTGGGAGGAGTTCTCTGTCTCACCTCTCACACCGCCATCTTGAATGGATCTCCCTTTGGACTTTGATTTTTAAGACCTGCCTTTCTTGCACAGCACTGGACATACATTGTTTGTACCTGATGTTTGTTCCTCAGGTGTTAATTGAATTGCTATATGAAAGTAGTCTACAAGATGCCTTCAAGGGAAAAATTTCTTTTCTTTGCTCCATGAAGGGCAATGTATTTATCATTTGTATTGCATACACATTGTGCTTTGCAGATTATTTTCTAAACTTTTAATAAATAGACCCAGCTGTTTTACTGGTTATTTAGAATTTAACTGTATTGTTAGATTATCTTTTGAATGAGAAATGAAAAATCTTTGAGTTATAGCCTGCATCAAATATTTTCTGTAAAGGGCCATATAAAGTCTTGCAACAAATTCAACTTTGCTGATGTGGTGCAAAAGCAGTCATAGGCAATAAATATGTAAATAAACTGGTATGGCCACATTTCAGTAAAACTTTACTTACACATACAGGTGGCTGGTGGGTCATATTTGGCCTATGCGCTGTAGTTTACCAACCTATGGTCTACGCAAGACTTATATAAATTACATAGCCTGGAATATGTGTCCTTCTAGCAGTACTTAATGGGCCGAAATGTTATTTCTTTGTCCTCTGTAACTTACTGATGGTCAAGATTTATCCAAGTATTTTTATTAGCAGACTTGAAAATTTGTATTGGCAGGCACAGGAAATGTGTATATATGTACCCATTTTAGAGTAATGGTAAACATCCATTAAAAAACCAAGATTCAGGACACTCTAACAGGTTTTAATGTCTGTTCACTAATTTATTCAACAAATCTTTATTGAGCACCTACTGTTGACTCAGCAGTGTTCCAGGCTCAGAGTATACTTTGGTGAGCAAGCTCTTTGTTATTGCCATCATGAAGCTTGTAGCCAAGCTGGTAGGCTAAAATTTACCAGATAATTGCAGGTATGTGATACATTTTCATAAGCCACATTATGTCAACCACTATATTCCTTCCTCTATAAGGATAATTATAGATACTCCAATTAACATATCTTAATTTTTATTTAAGAAAAGAAAAGAAAGGGAACAGAAAATTATTAAGGAAATGGAGGAAAAAGCAGCAAAGGTCCTGGAGAAAGAACATATTCAAGAGAAAGCAAAAGAAAAATATCAAGAATGGTTAAAGAAAAAAAATGCTGAAGAATGTGAGAAGAAGAAGAAAGAAAAGGTATTTTTATTTAAGTGACCATTTAGAATACATGGCTTTGCTGTTTGTATATGTTAACTATATTGTATAAAAAGTTTCTACTGTCTTAGAATAAAATAAATACATAAAGATATCCCTACTTAATAACCTAATTGTTTAAGCTTCAGAAGTGAATATACATTTGTGGTTTAATTAGGTTGAGAAATATTAGTAAGCCTGTCAATATGTTTTTAGTTGGGTTCAAACTTTTTATCATGATAATGCTGTTAATATTTTTGATGCACTTTTATGGAAAGTGTTATTACATTATTGTTTTACTTTTTTAAGACAGCAAATTGCTTTTTTCTTCTTGGATTTGATGTCTTATTGTTTAGAGGCAGCCACCTTCATATCACATCCCTGATCATGTTAAATTTTGCTCTCAAATTATAGAAATATGATTCATTATTTATGTGATCAGTAAACCATCGGGGTGGGAAGTTGCCAGGGAAGAGAGTAGAATTTGAATAGAATTTTTAGTTACAGAATATCCCCAGAGATTCTTTGGTTTTGTCATTTTAAGGAAAAAGAAAAACAACGGCAAGCTGAATTACAGGAAAAAAAGGAAATAGCAGAAAAAAAGTTTAAGGAATGGTTGGAAAATGCAAAAAATAAACCTCGTCCAGCTGCAAAGAGCTATGGTTATGCCAATGGAAAACTTACAGGTTGGTTTTATGTTATGTGGCTTACATAAATATGGCTTGCAGGAACAAATATTATACATTATGTTTCCTTTTGACAGAAATAGAAATGTGTAAAAACTATTTTTCTTTCCAATTACTATTTTTTGGAAAATTGTATCATAACATACTATGTTCCTGTGGAAGTACTACAACTTTATTGTCATTCTCTAAAAAATCAAATATATTTTAAAACTACAAAGTAATGACTTCTAAGACTGAGAGACAAGTAAAGTTTTCTTACATTTTTTTGGATTTTAAAGCCTTCATCAGGGTATATTTAAGTGTCATTTTCCTCCCCTCCTTCTAACTCTCTGAGGCAGAGCTTCAGTGTCGTTGGCACATTCTTTTGCAGGGTGGAATACTAGACAGCACATGAGCCAGACACAAAACCAGTTGGCCTTCAGGCTTGGTCTCATTATAAATCGAAGAGCATGTTTTCCTTTGTGTTTCATGTTGGAAGCTCATACCTTGTTGACAGCTGCCTTCACTTGTTTAAGTGATTTATTATTAAAAATACTCCCATTCTGTTTTGTTCACACAATCGAACATATGCCAGACTTTGTTTTGACCATGTTGCTGAAGTGTGTGTTGACATATCTTTGCAGTCAAAGTGGGTTGCCAGTGTCTGAATGACACATTCCTGCTGTCAGGATTAGGTCTCTCCGCATGTCACAAAGGTCATCCATTAAAGCTACTAAACATGGTCTGCTCTTTTTTCCCTCTTGTTTAGAAAAAAAAAAAGAGTAATCAATGGTCTTAACCAAACAATTGGATAGTAAAGTTAAAACTTTAGGTGGGACTATACATATTGACTAGAAGTTAATTGCTACAATAATGGATTATTTTATTAAATTTTTACATTTTAAAAAGTTTTATTCTAATAAATAGTGTATTTGCAAATGCTTTATGCTCTTAATAATCAAAACAATGATATTATAAAATCTGATTGATTCAAATGCCAGTAATTTAGAATTTCAGTAATTCTAAACAAGAATCTTGCTGGACTTTAGCTATGTATGCAACGATTTTTTTTTTTTCCCTGCAAATTTAGGGTCTGACTAGGGGAAACTAGTATACAGTTAGAACTTTCCAAGACTGAGTTAGGAAAATGATGACTTTGTTCAGCCTAAAAGTTCTAAAATTAACTTCTTAGTAAAATGTTCATAGGAGTTTTTATTTATATATATTTAAGCATTAAATTCTCTGTACTTTTAGAATTATTTATATTTTAATTTTTACTGCAATATTTACTGTATTTGGAAAGTGTTATTTGAAAATATTCAAGAGTAAGTTTTCAAAGAGTCAAACTGGTTTATCAATGATTTTTTTTGCCCTTTTGATATTTTAACATTTTTCTAGGAATTTAAGAGTAAGTAGTTCCATTTATGTCAATAAGTTTTTTTTCTTGTTCTGATTTCTTAATAATCTTAGGTTTTTATAGTGGGAATTCTTATCCAGAGCCAGCCTTTTATAACCCAATTCCATGGAAACCAATTCATATGCCTCCTCCTAAAGAAGTTAAGGCTCTATCAGGAAAGAAGACCAAAAAGCCTGTGATAAGTCAGCCACACAGGTCTTCATCTCTGGTAATTCATAAAGCCAGAAACAATCTTTGCCTTGGAACTCTGTGCAGAATACAAAGATAATATATATGAGAAATTGCATGCTTTTACCTGGAACTTTTTAATTTTAAAATCAAATCTTTTTTTTATTGTTTAGTCAGTAGCTTAACATTCAGTGTGATTATTGACAATTTCAAATTTTTGCATTTGTATATGGAGTCCTTAGAGTTAATGAAGAAGACATATTATACATTTTCATTTTTATAAATGCTTCAAAGTTGATCTTGGCGTATTGTTTCAAAGGATAAGTGATTGATTATATGATAATTGTGTTTGTGTATAACATTTATTAAAACTACATTGTAATACCCATAAAACCAACAGTTTTTCTTGTGTTATTTCATAATTTGTGTTGTCTGTTTTTATTTATGAACATAATAAGATTAAGATTAAATCGTTCAAACTGGCATTTCTAAATTGCATGCTCAAGATAACTCTTATAAGAATGTGTTAGAATCCTGGAGTAATGAAAACAGTAAATATTTAAAAATAACTAATTGGAAGAATATTTTGTAACAAAGAAATGAGGGTTGGGTTTTTGAAAGGAAAATTTAAAAACATTGTTCTTTGGACCTTAGATTGATATGTAGTAATCTTGAAAACCTAATATATCTTGCTGTACTTTGTAAAAATACTTATATAGTCATTATAATTAGTTTCATTGTTCATTTTGAAATTAGGATTATCAGTGCATTATTTTTTAATGTTAAGTCATATTTTACTGAAGTTGAGATCACAGACCTTACTAATACATGCTAAGCATAGTAGTTCAAAGGATTACTAAAATATACTCAGCACTTCTTAATAAATTTTAAAAGTCTCTATCTTTTTTTAGGGTGCCATCAAGAAATGAAAATTTGTTGCGGCAACATAAAGTTCAGTAAGTTCATGTAAAAGTGTTTCCTATTTAGAATATGCTCAGTGTTTCTGCTGCATTAGTCATTCTGCCAAGCTTATGGTAATTAACCTGCAGTGGTATTGATTAATGCAAGGGAACAGTAATAGGATCTTTGAAGGGTATCCATGTCCTCTAAAATCTAGGAAAATTCACTTCTAAGCAGAGAACTGTGTGGGGAGGGTTTGTTGGATCAAAATATTATTGAGATTTAGAGGCCTGACCATCCTTCTCAGAACCGCCTAGACACAGTAAAACTTCTAGATGATCAGTCTGTCCACTTGACCAAATTCACCTATATAGAGAATGTGGAATTTGCTAGGATAGCAATAAACTTGTTTGTAAAAAACAGCATACACAGGCCTGAATTCCTGGAGGTTTTAGATTTAGTTATCTTTAAGAAACCTTTGATTTCACATAGTAGATTAAGTCATTCAGCCAACTTTTAGCTATCATAATAAGACTTTTCATTCAATCAGTAATTAAGTTTGACCAATAGTAACTGAACATTTACTCTGTAACATGTTTCACATATTAATGTAGGAATTTAAATAATAAGTTTCTTTACTTCAGCTAACATTTACAGACTAGCCAGGAAAATATGTAACAGAATAAATGACATAATGCCCTATCCTTGAAATCGTGCTCAGAGTTTCATCTGGGAACATAGATAAGATAGGTAAGCCTGTGAAGGAATTAAGAAAGGCTACAAAGAGGAGATGACATTTGAGCTGGTAAAAGATAAGCAGGAAATTTTAGATGGCATGAGGCTGACCACACTCATGGACATGTGGTGAGAATTATCTGGGAAAGAAGCAGGGGCCAGAATAAAAGGGCGCTATATGCTGTAGAATTTGGACTTGTGATGTCCTGTTTTACTATCCCAATGATAAATTTCAAAAAGATTTGGGCAGTGAAACTCATTTATTAATAAAAATCTGTTTTTATTAACCAAAAACTTATTCAAACCAACCACACACCTGATTACCAGGAGATTAGTGTTTTTACTCTAAATTAATTTTTCTTGAAGTCAAGGTACTTGAAAGTTGAGACATTACAAACTACAGTACAACATTTGAAATTTCTGATAAGGTTTTTAAAATAATCCCTTTGACTTCTACAACCCCTTAGATTGGAACTGCTCTGATATATCTAGGTAGCTTATAATGCCAATAAATCCATGATCTAATAGAAAGAACACGGGTGTTGTAGACCTGAGTCTGTGTTGTTTGAATCCTGATTTTAGGTCTGCTTCTCTGGAAGTTGCCTAATTTTTTCTAATGTTCAATATGTTACCTAATTCAGAAACATGGGAATATAAAACAAGTGGAAGTCCCTAAAAAATGCAAGTTATTTTCCTTTTTGTATGATGATAAACCTGGTAAGATGTATCAATATTCTTTTTCCTCAGTGATAATTGATCTATATAACAGCTGACTTTGGTTAACACACTTATGTTGACTGATGATGGACCAAAAATAAGTTAACTTGTCAGTACTTAGGGTGGACTTTCATTTACCCCTGTGCTATAAGTATAAAGTGAATACTGTTGTTTCCATTTTCTTAAAGTTAATTCAATAAATAGTTACTGAAGACCTACTATGTTAGGTCTTATTAGCTAGTTAGTATTTTAGGTGCTGGAGGCTCATCTATAAATTTTTGTAAATAAATAACAACTTACTTGGTTCTAGGTGCTATAAAGAAAATGAAACAAAGTATTGGTATAAATAGTGACTGGGTAGAAGGGTCCACTGCTCTTAGATGGATGGGCTTCTGTGAGGTGGTAATGAGTAGTTGAGCTAACCTGGCTGAAATCTGGAGAATCAGAGGGAACAACCAGTCCAAAGGCCCTGAGGTGCTAATGAATTTGGTGTGTTCAAAAAGAGGCCAGAGTGGCTGGAATGGAGAGAGTGATGGAGAAAAAAGTAGGAGTTAAGGTTGGAGAGGCAAGCAGGGCCAGATCACATATAATGCTGAGTTCAGTAGTTCAGATTTCATTCTAATTATATTGGGAAGGCTCTGGAAAGTTTTAAGCAGAGAACTGATAGGATCTGGTTTATACGTTGAGACTACTCTGGCTACTGTGAAGAAATTGGCTGCTTGGAGAAATCTAAGTGAAAGAATAGACTTGAAGATTTAGAAAAGTTAAGGATGGTTTTAGGGATATAGTTCCTAAATAGCTAAAAAGAAAGCAGGGAGACTCACTGGGAGGATTTTGGATTAAGATGGCAGTAGTGCCATGGTAAATAGAGATGGATTTGGGATGTATTTTGGAGGTGGAGCAAACAGGACTTAACATTTGAATGTCAGGGAAGGAGGAAAAATCAATATGACTTTTTCTAGTTTTTAGGCCTGATTGGGTAAATGATGATAACTATAATAGAAATTAGATGGTGTGGTAGGAGTTAGGTCTATGGATGAGATGGGGACAGTAGAGTCCTTAAGAATTCTGTCCTAGATCTGTTAGGTTTGTGGTAACAAGTTCATGTCCTGCTGGAGATGGTGGTTAGATGTCTGTGTCTGATACTCAGAGGAGAACCAGAATTGGAGATAAATAAGCAACATCAATATATAGATAGTATTTAAAAGCATGGGACTGGATCAGGTTACCTAAGAAGAGTTTGGATAGTGAAAAGAGATAGCTGAGTATTCTAATATTTAGAAATTGAGAAGCAAGCAGGGATCATGAGAAGGAGCAGCCAGTGAAGTAGAAGGAAACCCAATGGGGTATGGTATCCGAGAGGGCAGGAGTAGAAGTGCTGGGAGCAGGAAGTTGTGAGCCCTGTCCAGTGCTGCTTGTACCATAAGTAAGAGCAGCAAAGAGCCTTCTTTATTGGATAAGGTAAGATGAAGGAAGGTCACTGTTGACCTCAATAGCAAGCATGTATCAAATACTTCCTATATGCCTGGCAGCATTCTCTGTGCTATTATGTGTGCTGACTCTCACAACAACCCCATGAGATAGCTACTGGTATTATCCCCATTTTGTAGTTAAGGGAACTGAGGCTCAGAGAAGTTACACTGTTTTTATACTTAGTCACAAAACAGGGATTAGGACTCAAGGTCAAAGTCCAGGCTAAACAGCCATATCCTATTTCCCTCCTCTTTAATACATATGATAAGAAAAAGTGATATGAGATGACAGTCAAAGTAGGTTGGAGAGAGAATGGGAGGTGAGAAAGTGGAGACCATACCTGAAGACAGCTCTTCATAGAAGTTTTATAGTGAAGAGGAGAAGGTAAGTGAGATGGCATCTGGAAGAGGACAGAAGATCAAGGGCATTTTTTGTTTGTTTTGCTTAACATCCATGATATTAAACATATTTTTCTGCTGATGTTGATCTAGGTGAAAGAATAGACTTGAAGATTTAGGAAAGTTAAGGATAGTTTTAGGAATGTAGTTCCTAAATAGCTAAAATGATGACTTATGTGAAAGCAAAGACGTTTCTTCCATTTTAACAGGAAAGAACACATAGTACATAGTTTGTTGCTGGATTCTTCTCTTAGAGAGAAAGGTGGTGAACTGGGTACCAGAATTTCAGTGAACCAAGATAATTTGTTAGCCAGATAATAGACAAAAAGCATTAGTGGTAGGAGGAGGATATAGTAGTTCTTGTCTGATACCTTCTGGTTTCTCAATAAAGTATGAAAAGGAAGCGAGTTCATCAACGGAGGGATAGAATAAGTTGTTGCAAGTAGGAGGGAGAAGTAAAAGGTAATAGACAATTAGCATCTTGGAATGGGGAAAACAAATTTACTGGAGAAATTAGTGGAAATGACTGATGGGCATTGTCATTTGCCACTTGATTTTTTGATCCAGAATGGGACCCCTTAGCAGAGTTCTGTCATGTTTTTCTCCTTTTCTGGAGAAATGTTGAGCTACTTGGGTTGAGGAGCAGAGTAAGGCTTAATTAGGATTGGGCAAGTATGGGGACCAAGCATCTAAGGAGCGTTTTCCAGGATTGTTATAGCAATGAAACTTACGTTTAACAGGGATGAGTGATGGATGTTGAGGAAGAGGTCTTCCATTGATGAGGGTTTCCAATCCCATTGCAGGATGTTGGGCTGGGGATACTTGAGGGAAGCTGGAAAGGTAGAAGTTTGTAGTCAGATGTGTGGTGATGACAAGATCCAGAGTATGACTGTGGCCGTGGGTGGCCCAGATGGAGCATATCAATCAAGCTGAAGAAATTAAGAAACAAGAGGCCAGGGCATTGGAAAGGTTTTTCTTTATGTGAATGTTGAAATTACCAAGAATTATGATAGTAATTAATAATTCTTCTCTTACAGAGAAAGGTGGTGAACTGGGTACCAGAATTTCAGTGAACCAAGATAATTTGTTAGCCAGATAATAGGCAAAAAGAGCAGTATTAGTTTAGTATGGATTGATGACATATTCTTTAGAAGAGCTGGGCCTTTTGAAGAAGTGGGAGATGCAGTGGTTAGGAGGTGGCAGTGGGGAACTGGATAAGTAGGTAGGACTCTAAGCCTTGGAAGTACACCCTGGAGGTGGGGGACTGCAAAGGGAAGGCATTGTCAGTCCACTGCAGGCTATCCATGATCTAATAGAAAGAACACGGGTGTTGTAGACCTGAGTCTGTGTTGTTTGAATCCTGATTTTAGGTCTGCTTCTCTGGAAGTTGCCTAATTTTTTCTAATGTTCAATATGTTACCTAATTCAGAAACATGGGAATATAAAACAAGTGGAAGTCCCTAAAAAATGCAAGTTATTTTCCTTTTTGTATGATGATAAACCTGGTAAGATGTATCAATATTCTTTTTCCTCAGTGATAATTGATCTATATAACAGCTGACTTTGGTTAACACACTTATGTTGACTGATGATGGACCAAAAATAAGTTAACTTGTCAGTACTTAGGGTGGACTTTCATTTACCCCTGTGCTATAAGTATAAAGTGAATACTGTTGTTTCCATTTTCTTAAAGTTAATTCAATAAATAGTTACTGAAGACCTACTATGTTAGG